ATTTGATTTCTCTTGGTGAATTTGACAGAAAGCGATATGTTTTTCAAGTAGCGAAAAGTATCCTAAGAGTCATGAAGGGGTCAAAGAAAGTCTCGAGTGGCGTGAAGAAACAAGACTTGTATACCCTTGAGGCTGAGGTTGTAAGTGGTTCGACAAATGTTGCATCCATGAAACCTGTGTCGAAGACATAATTATGGCACATGAGATTGGGCCATGTCAACGAAACAGGCCTGGTCGAATTGAGGAAGTAGAACCTGCTAGGAGGTGACAAAGTCGAAAAGTTAGAGTTTTGTGAATCTTGTGTATTTGGTAAATCCTGTAGGGTGAAGTTTAATAAAGGCAAGAAAAGAATACACGAATCTCTGGATTACATTCATACTGATCTTCGGGGGCCTGCATGGAATCCTTCACACTCAGGTGCAAAGTATTTTCTATCCATCATTGATGACTATTCCAGAAAGCTATGGGTTTTCATCTAGAAGACAAAGGATGAAACTTTTGAGAATTTCAAAAGCTGGAAGGTTCTGGTCGAAACTCAAACTGGCAGAAAGGTTAAGCGGTTGAGAACCGACAATGGCCTTGAGTTCTGCAACAAAGAATTCGACAGTTACTGTGTTGAGTCTGGGATTGTAAGGCATAAGACTGTAGCAGGTAGTCCTCAACAAAATGGCTTAACTGAGAGATACATTCGAACAATCCTTGAAAAGGTTAGATGCATGTTGGTTAGTGCTAGATTGAAGAAGGTGTTTTGGGCGGAGGCTGTTTCGAAAGCAACCTATCTGATAAATAGATGTACCTCGACTACCTTGGGAATGAAGACACCTGAAGAAGTTTGGTCGGGACATCTACCTAGTCTCGATAGATTGAGAGTATTTGGCTGTGTGGCCTATGCTCATATTAGGCAAGACAAGGTCGAACCCAAAACTCTGAAATGCATGTTCATGGGATATCTTGAAGGAGTCAAAGCTTATAGGCTATGATGCCTAGAGCCAGGCCACAGGAGGTGTATCACCAGTTAATATGTAGTTTTCAATGAAGCATAGATGGCTTTCAAGAAATCTGATGATGCTGACGAAGAGCTTGAACAAGAAGAGATTCTTGTTGAGGTGGAGCATGTTGATGCGGAATTGCATATCCCAGATGAAGTCGAAGAAGACACATAAGATGTTGTCGAAGATGAGGAGACTGATAATGACTACCTGCTAGCAAGGGATAGGTCGAGGAGAGTCATCAAGCCACCTCAAAGACTTGGGTATGCAGATCTTATAACTTATGTCTTAATCTCTGCAAGTGAGGTTCTAGACGAAGAACCTAGAGATTATAAGGAAGTTATGAGGAGTCAAAAGAAGACTGAATGGATGAAGGCCATGGATGATGAGATGAAATCTCTTCATGATAACAACACCTGAGAACTAATCAAGAAACCTACTGGAGCCAGGTTAGTCAGCTGTAAATGGATTTTCAAAGTTAAGGAAGGGATCAAAGGAGTGGCGCCGAAGAGATACAAGGCAAGATTGGTCGCTAGGGGGTTCACTTAGAAAGAAGGTTTCGACTTCAATGATGTGTTCTCTCCTATTGTGAAGCACAAATTCATTCAAATGTTGCTTGCCACAGTGACCTAGTTTGACCTTGAACTAGAACAGATGGATGTGAAGACTGTGTTCTTGTATGGTGATTTAGATGAAACAATCCTTATGAGGCAACCTGAAGGGTATGTAGAAAAAGGGAAGGAAGATTATGTGTGCAAACTGAATAGATCTTTATATGGACTGAAACAATCTCCTCAACAGTGGAATAGGAGATTCGACAAGATCATGACACGCATAAGTTTCATCAGAAGTCAGTTCGACCATTATGTTTACTTTAGATTTTGATTGGGTAATTCATTTGTTATTTTGTTGCTCTATGTGGATGATATTCTAATAGCAAGCAACAATGTCAAAGATGTAATAAGGGTAAAGACTGAACTCAATAAGAAGTTCGACATGAAGGATCTGGGAGCTGTGTCTAGGATTCTTGGGATTGACATCCGAAGAGATAGAAAGCAGTTGAAATTATGCTTATCTCAATAGGCATACCTACGAAAGATTCTCGGAAAGTTTGGTATGTCGAATTCAAAGTCTGTTGTGACTCCAAAAAACCCTCAATTCAAGTTGAGTATAGATCAGTGTCCCAGTACTGATGTCGAAAGAACTTATATGAATAACATTCCATATGCTAATATAATGGGTTCTTTGATGTATGTTATGGTCTGTACTAGATCTGACATAGCATATGCAGTAAGTCTTGTAAGCAGGTACATGACGAATCCTAGAAAGGCTCACTAACAAGCATTGAAGTGGATTCTAAGGTACATAAACGGGTCTCTGAATAGAGTCCTAATTTATGGTGGAGCCTTGGATGAAGATAGTAAAGCAGAAATTAAAGGGTATGTCGACTCTGATTATGCAGGTGGTATGGATTCCAGAAAATCTATGTTTAGATATGTGTTCACTATGTTTGGGACAAAAATTAGTTGGAAAGCTACACTTCAGAAGGTCTTTGTCTTATCAACCACTGAAGCGGAATATATCGCGCTAACTAAAGCTGTGAAGGAAGCATTGTGCCTTGAAGGTTTTGCAAAGGAGCTAAAACTTCAAGGTCGAGTTATCACTGTTAAATGTGATAGTCAAAGTGCAATACACCTGTCGAACTCTAGTATGGTCGAAGTCTGTTCGTGAGTAATACGTGTTGTAGTCTAAGTTTGTTATAACATGTATTAGTCAATATTACTAGGTTTGTTAGCATGTTGAATTGAGCCTTACTTGTAAGCCTAATTGTTTAAGTTAGCGTGTACCCTAAGTTAGCTTGTAATGGGTAATTGTTAAAAAGCCCATTATGTTAGTGTGTTATTTTTCTTATAAATAACATGTTAGTCTCTCATCTCGTATAAGGAAAATGGGAAGATAAAATCCTAATTCAAGTGAGAGAGGTTATTTTGTTATTCTTGTATACTTGTAATCTTGTTCTAAGAGAAAGGAAAGAATAGCAGTTTATAACCAATCCTTGCTTTTCTTGTTGTTTTACCTTATTTTCTTTGTTAACCCTAACCCTTGTGTGTTTCTTGATCATAAAGAAACCGTTTATATTTTGTTTCAGGACATCCTATTCACAACAGACTGCATATTATACAGGAAATAGTATGAAAATTTGGATCAATGTCCGGAATATGGGGTGTCACATTACAAGCAGAAGGAAAACAATGATAATGACAATGACAATGTTAGTAGGAAGAGTCCTTCTGCTAAAGTGTTATGGTGCTTGTCAATAATTACAAGATTTAAGAGACTTTTTACTAATGCAATGATGCAAAAAATATTAGATGACACGCAGATAAAAGAAAATGTGACGGGAACATACGCCATGTAGCATATATATAATATTTGGTTCTTAATCCAATATATGGATTTGATGTAATATAATACAATTATTGTTATGATACAATTGTTGTATCTGTTCTGATACGGTTCACAAAATAACAGGTTAAAAAATGGAAAAATTTCAAAAAGTAGAAAAATATTTAAAGAAAAAAAAGATAATTTAACGACGGTTGTTAAATATGACCGTGGTTGTAGAGTAAACGCTGCCCAAAATAATATATATACCAAAAAAGGCGCGGTTGAGAATCAAACTTGAAACCTTTAAGAGCAACTTTAATGCAGGGTTGTTAAACCAAAATTCTTTATAGCTTACGTTAGTAATAAGGAATTTGCATTATAGTAGTGCTGACATGGCATATGGGATGCTCTAAAACTAATTTACGTACTCTACACAAGCAACGTACTCTAACTCATCATTTAACAAAAATAATACATTTTTATTAATTATTTAAAATAAATAATAGATTTTTATTAACCATTTAATACCATGTGGGGTCAAGTTTTGGTTTCTTATAGACAACCACCATTAAAGTAAAAACTACTCAAATCAACTATAAATTTTTTAAATCCTACAAATCACTTTGGACCCACAAAAAATATCTTAGTTTACCCATTTAGTTTACTCCCACTAAAGATGCTCTAATATATTACAACGGTTAGTTAAAACAAATGTGGTAATATGTCGCACGCTTTCAGATTTTCTATAACGGTCATACGAACATGATTGTAAGTAACATATATAAAACCACACGCTACTTCACAACAGTTGTTCCTGCGTGATGATATTCATTTTTCAACCGTTGTTTTATATATTTTCCGTAGTAGTGAATTTATTAGATTTCAGATATTAAAAAATCTTTTTTATTTTGATCAGTCATAATCGACTAGAGTCACAATCTAAACGACTATGATGAAAATTTTGACCTAAAAATATTTCCTTTCTTGATCAAATCTTTTACTATATAAAGAGGACGTATATTAACGTTAAAATACACAAGAAATATGAATATTACTCAATCTCTTACTCTCACTTTTTAAAAAAAAAATTCTTTCATATTCACTTAAAATTATTTTAGTACTAAGAGAAAGAGAAACACTTATTAAGAGTTGTTGTTTTAATTGTTAATTAATTTGTTTTAGCCACAATTATAAATAAATAAAGAGAGAGTTATTCTCTTGTAAATTCTGATATCATTGTAAAGGTTGCAAAATAATTTTGACATAAAAATTTGGTGTAAGAAACTTGTGGACTAATCGTATAGTATGAAAAGTCTGTTACTTTACTTTACGTGCAAATAAAAACTTTGGTTTAGACAGATCAATTAACATTGTATAAAAACTATACTTATGTTACTTTACATTCAAATGAAAACTTTTACAATAACCAAAATCATCCAATTTTAGAAAATGTGGAATCCTGTGGATTCTGTGAGTAGTAGAGTGAGTTATTGCATTAATCAACAAAAACTATTTTCACTTCATTGAATGTGATTATTATATTACATAGTATTGTTACTTGTGTCATTCTATTCCAAATGTACTAATAAAATCTCACAAGACTTCCAAGTCTTATTAACTCTTTCATTTTGTTGCACTTGCACTACCTGAGGTTTCACAGTACTGTTCTTGCTCAGGCTGGCATAACTGAAGTTGAAATAATGTCTGTGGATACTCTCCTCCTCCTCCTTCTCCGCCATACGGAAACTGAACAAATGCACTTTTGCTTGTAGTGAGCGCGGCCGTATCTGTTGTGCCATACACCTAAGTCATTCACATTAACCTAATTGTTAAGCAATATGTGTTTTCAAATTTAATTTGTCACACTTACTAGCCTAAGTGAATGTGATGCAGTGTTGTCAAATAGAGACTATAGCGCAGCGGAACTTTAACAAACCTTTATTGTTCCGCATTCTGCAGCACGCGATTTAGTATATAGTGTTGCAAAATTTTAACTAACTGCTATTTTCTGCGCGCTACCCTTTTGCGCAGTTGGGTGCTTTCTTGTAGAATGAGGTTTACCTTCTTATAGAGTTCCACATTCTCTTGATGGATTAGGTTTCCCTTCTGGTTCAGCTCATGGATTTCGTCTGTCAGAATCTTCTCCTTTTTCATTCGGATTTCTTGGAGACTAAGTTCGAGTTGTCTCTCTAGATCCTGTAGGTTTCTGATGCTCAAACCATAAAGCTGTTCTCCCATCAATTGCCTGCGACCGCAAAATGTTAGGGCTTTCGTTCATGGTGCTTAATGAGGTATGTGAATTCAAGGTTGTACCTATGGTTTTCTTGTAGAGTCTGTAGTTGCTGCCTTAAAATATCAGATTCCCTTTGCCAAAACTATAGGTTATCAAGTAAAATAATGCAAATGAGTAACATGCATGAAACAAAATGTGACATGGTTAAAGTGTGATTAGTAAAGCATACCTTGACTTCAGATTCTGGATTTGTCACTTGTTGGTCTTCCTTGAAACTGTAATATCTCTCGATCGCCGATTTCATGCTGGCCACAAGAAAGAATAATCACATTCTTAAATTTTTTCGCGAAATTATTAGTATCATTAATCATGAAAAGCTGTATCTAGATAAGGAACTTATTAGTGATAATCAACTGCATTTCGCATTGCATTACATTTCTATGAACAAACAAAACACATAAAAATAGATTGTCAACAAAGTGTTTTTAGGAGAAATAACAGTTGATTATGTCAACTCTGGCTGACATGTTCACTAAGTGCTTGAGACACTAGCATTCACTACATTTGTTTGTAATAAGCTTTGTTATGCTCTAGTTTGAGGGGCAAGGATGCTTCTATCTTTCAGGGTACCTATAGTAATAAGATGCATCATTTTTGACTTGGAGCACACTAAAAAAGTTTCATATAATGGCTTGGTCTGCTTTTCAAATTAAGATTCTTTCCAAAACCAACATTTTTCTTTGTTCATATGTTGTTCATTCACATGTTTGATTTGTGAGATCAATCATCCATTCGAAAGCAGTCAATTTGTATATCGAGAAATAGGAAGAGTCTATAGCTATGAAGTATGGATTCCGACACAGACACGAGACACGACACGATACAGATACTCGGATTTCGTCTGTCAGAATCTTCTCCAAAATATAAGACACCAATACCGTTATATATATAGAGAGTATTTCAGCTTTATTTATCCCTCTATGATTAAAAAAGTTGAAACTATTCTAATCAAAATTAATGTATTTATTTATTTACTAAGAACATTGATTAAATAACACGTGTAATAATTTTAAATTTGTGAGATTTGTCTAAAATATGTATAAATGTGAGTTGAAGAAAAGTAAAAAACAAATTTTTGTTTGAAATATTTGTTTGAATTGTCTAACATATATGTTATGAATGTCATACAATGTTAATCATTGATTCAAAAAGTGCCGAAATAAAAAAAAACATTTTTTAGTGGACATTTGTTTAACTTTTCCAAAACTTCTTTAATTTTTCCAACACGTGTCGTACATATGTCATATAAATATCAAACACCATCGCGTGTCAGACACAGTGATACGCCTACTTCTAGAATTGTTTTCCGTGCTTTATAAGTCTATAATCTGAAAACATGATGCTTCTAATCCAGGCCTAAAATAATCTAAAACTTGTAGTGGATAAAAAGTTGATATCTCCAATAGATCAACCACTTGTAGTGGATCAAAAAGTTGATATCTCCAATAGATTAATTTGGGTAGAATTATTGGATAAACAATTTACGTGAGTTAAATCTCTACTTTAATCTTATTCTTATTAGTTTGTGATTTTCATACATTGTTTATTGCTGAAGACTGTTGGTGTCTATTGTTCTTTGTTCAACACATTATATTTTTTTGGTGTGTTAAATCCTTGATCATTTGATTTTTTATAACAAGTTGCACTCACGGTAGGCAAATGGTATTACAAGTGAGCTTCGGAGATTCTAAATGTGACATTAAGTTTTTTCTGAGACAACGAATTTAGGTGGTAGGCAAATGGTATTACAAGTGAGCATCGGAGATTCTAAATGTGACATCAAGTTTTTTCTGAGACAACGAATTTAGGTGATAGAAGTGAAAATGCAAGCAATATTGATTAAGTGTATCGAAGTATTTAAAGGTGAAAACATGGGTATCATTATCTTGTGCCTCAAAGATAAACTATTGAGGGAAACTGTAAGGAAGAAGACTGACAAAAACGTGGGTCATTCTTGAATAATTGGATATGATGATCAAATTCTTTACTCACATATTATTTTTGAAACAACAACCACATTAATTTCAAATGATAGAGAACAAATCCATTATAGAACAATTGATAAAATGTCAAGAAAATATTGAAGGCTTGAGATGCAACTTGACGATGAAGACACATCTCTATTATTTTTTAGAGGAGTATATTTTCCTAGTAGAGGTCATCAAAGAAGTCATTTGATTAAGAGAATATGATTGACGAATTAAGAATCACTTAAGAATATGTGAAGACACGTTGTGATTGTCAATGTCCAATCTATTTAGCTAATAATCAAGTTTATCATGAGTAGACAAAACTCATTGACATCTATTTGCATTTCATTAGAGATATTGTTTTCAAGTAAAAGGATTGCTTTGGAAGAAAAGATGGTCATGTGTTCACCAAGTCATTATCTAGGTCAAGGTTTAACATTGCTTGAATTTTATTGAAACGTGATTCTTGTTAGGAGAAAGAAATTAGGTTTCTGATAGTTAAATGTGCATCAACATTGATTTGAAGGTTAAGTGGAGAATTTTGAAAGTTTTTTTTTTTATAAAAATGTTTTCAATAAAAAGTTACATTTTTTTTTTTGTTTTTTTTTAATAGATTGGTCTCAAAATTTGTGACATTCTTAAACCATTATAGAAAAGGAAACTTAGAAAGGGCAAAAAAATTCCTATGAAGGGGTTCTTATTTAATTAGAGATTCATGGAGAATAGGTTACGAACTAAATTAAATTTGGCTTAGACGTGACATTCTAAATTCTGATTCTCTAGGCTGCATGGAAGGATCTGAAGCTATTAAAAATTTATAGCATTAGTTCTTGAATGATAATTTTTGTGTATTAAGAATTTGGAGTGAAATCATTTGTTGGTTGAATATTTTTAGTGCTAAATTAAATATTGTGTTTAACTATAGAAATTATGTTTTTTTCTTAGGTTTCAATGACTATCAATCTTCCTTTATATGTTTTGAGATTTATAAGAAATGTAGTATTGATTATAAAGGGCAGAAGTTTTTTAAATATAAAAATGGTTCATTTGATTTGAAAAGAGATCCAGGACAAAATACTTGTTCAATGTTTAAGAGAAAAGATGCCACAAATCTTGATAAAAAAGAGGATGAGTCTAGACAAAAACAAATTTTTTAACCTTACTAAAACATGCTACAAAAAGTTGTCTATTACCAAATTATGTAAAAAGACAAAAATTTCATTTCATATATATATATATATATATATATATATATATATATATATATATATATATATATATATATATATATATATATATATATATATATATATATATATATATATATATATATATATATATATATATATATATATATATATATATATATATATATATATATATATATATATATATATATATATATATATATATATATATATATATATATATATATATATATATATATATATATATATATATATATATATATATATATATATATATATATATATATATATATATATATATATATATATATATATATATATATATATATATATATATATATATATATATTCTCTTTGTTTATCTCTTTTATGTTTTAATATTTATATTTATAAATATTATTAAGTATTTATATCAATATTTATATCATAAATGACACTGTAGTAAATTTATACAAGTATTTATATTTTTTTTAGTGTTGTTCAATATTTACATGAATAAAAAAATAATAGACAGATATTCCAACCTAAGAGCATCATTAATGGGAACAACTAAATTGGATGAATTTAGTTGAACTAAGTTATTTTACGTGGGTCCAAATTGACATGAAGGATTTAAGCAATCCAAAATTGAATTAAGAAGTTTTTGCTTCAATGATGATTGTTTATAAGGAATTCAAACTTGGTATTAAATGATTAATAAAAATCTATTATTTATGTTAAATAATGAGTTGGAATACGTTGCTTGTGTAGTGCACGTAAACTAGTTTTAGAGCATCCCATATGTCATGTCAGCTCTACTATAATGCAAATTCCTTATTACTAACGTAAACTATACAAAATTTTGGTTTAACAATTATGCGCTAAAGTTGCTCTAATATATAAAAAACAACAAAATCTATATAAAAATTAATTGCTAAATTACCAATTAAAGGTGGCACAGACAAAAATCTCACAAGAAAAATAAAATAACTATAAAGGAGAAGAAGGAAATAAAAATTAAAAAATGAAAAACATGAAAAAAGAAAAAGCAATTAGATATACAATCCATTAATTAATCTAACACACAAAATTTTGTTTGAATGTTAAAGCAAAGTCAACCTTTGTTGGATTCAAATTTTGAAATCGAATGAGAAAAAGAAACTAAGAAAAGAGTGAACAAATGAAGCAATTAATATAAGCAATTTTACCTAAACCTCTTGGGGACATATATATAAAATTGATAAATTAATTCAAAAAATGCATTATACAAAAAATAAAAACGACACCACATTTATCTTCGACAATAGAAGAAATTATATTCGGTGCATATGATTTTGATGGGCCTAGGCCCGATTTTTTTTGTGTTATCAAGAAAAGACAATAATTAATCTAAGATATCATTAATCTAAGATAAAAAAATTTGTGTCCAGGTCGAGACATGGATACACATTTTGAAAAGTTTAAAAGATCTAATCCCTAAGTTCTTAATAAATAATTACTCTAAATTTGAGTACATCTTTACACCTAATTGAGAGAGGTCTTTCAAAAAATTAAACAATCATGTATGGAAAAGGTCAACTAACTGTACGGGATGCTTGAAGTTGGTTACCATATTTTGTAGGAGTCCCTTCCACTTCACCAACACTTGTTTTGTCCCACTCGTCAGCTTCCTGATAGCCAGTATCTCCTTATGTTTAACATGCAGTTCCCTTTCCTTATTCAAAGCTGGCAGTAACGGCTATACTATGTGCCCTTCTCTAACCACCTTTTTCAATTATGACACATGAAATACAAGATGTATTTTTGATTCAGCGTGCAATTCTAATTTATAGGCTATTTGAGCAATTCTTACTATCACAGTAAATGACCCATAAAACTTAGGACCTAACTTCTCTTTCGACCAATGAGATAAAGATTTAAACCGGTAAGGATGAGCCTTCACGTACACCATATCCCTAATGGTAAGTTCTACCTCTCTTTTCTTCTTATCCACCAATTGCTTCATAGAATTATGAGTCATGCACATTTGGGTCTTTAATTATCCCAAAATAACGTCATGCTCGAACAACAAATGATTCACGCCTTGA